TTCCATCGCTGCTTACAAGACACTATCTAGTTAAAAACAAACTAATATGTAAACGTACTCTAAACGCAACGTTATATGTAAGTGAAAACACATTTATTCCATTGCATTGAATTAATCGTCGTATATTCCAAAGCATAAAATATGTATGAGAATTTGCTTATTAAACAACCGATATTAAAAACGAAATTTCATTTCCGTTGAGCAGGATTGATTTTGTACCTAACGCTAGCTTGTCCATAATATTTAATTTAAATGCAGTGAAATCTATCCATTTGATATGTCAAGCGTGTATCATATATATATATCGCATACTCTTATACGACTTAAGACTTAAAAACGATGTTATCGTGATCGTTGCAAAAACTTGGTTTTGCGAAAAAAAAAAAAAAATGGGCTAACTAACAACTATGCAATATTGGAGCGATAACTCAGGAAAAAGCGGACAATTATCAATGCTTTTAAAAATTATGGACAGACCCCTGGCGGGATTCAATAAGTTGAAATATATACCTTAACGAAAGTCCTAAAGATAATGTATTAAGTTAGTAAACGTGATTCAAACAAATGGACAGACAGATGGACGTAGTAAAATCAAATCGACTATTTACCATCATCACAAGACAGTCTATACGTCTTCTGAAATCAATTTCAATACATAATAGCTGTTTGGTGAAATAAATATACTACCCGTTATGATCGGTATAAAAACTTTGCTTAAAAAAAATTTTTTTTCTACGAAAAGGCTCGACGCTACCATCGTCCAAACTACTCGCATGTTAATGCTAATTTCGTTCCAGTCTTACATCCAATCAACGTTGAGAAAATCAAAATCAAAACATTTGCAAAAATCCGCCCTGGTCGTACTATAGCAATACTTAAATGAATCCTTAAAAACGCTACTCCATAAACATACATATACTTTGTACATGCCAAAATATTTCCAATATTCGAAGCCTGGCTTTCGGAGCGTTAAACCCCTTGGACATCTTGAAAGTATCGGAGGAATATAAGGTCAATAAAGATTTAACATTATTAAAGCTAATAAACTAACCGTTTTTCAAAAAAGAAAGCGAAAATACTCTTGGTTGCTAATACTCATCTGACTTTTGGTCCTGGAATTTACGCCTTTGATCTAAATAAATAATAATAATAAGAGTAACCAGATTTTTGAGTATAGGAAAAAGTTCCAAGAAAAAGTTATAATATAAATCTTAAAAACGTAATATTTTTGTCCTTTTTTTAAGGCTCTTTTCAGGGCGGTTGCCATTTCAGATAAGGTTTATTCTTCATATAAATTCCTTAAGAGACAAGCACTGAGATCAAAGAGTGAAGGGTCAGTAAATCGAGTTATACCATCAAGGGCCATGAAAATGATAAGAAAATGTATCATTTGGAAGCGAAAGACAAATTTATTTTAATTTTATATATTTCTTTACATCTTATGTTTAATTACTTATATCCAAGACCATTTGCGTTACAAGCGCACATTAAATTTCTGCGGATACAACATCTAGAGCTACTTGAGATATGCCGACCGCCTTTTATCATGCCAAAAGTGATTCTGAATCGATCTAGGCTTGTGTGTCCGCCTATTCGTCTGGCTGTCTTGAATTCTTGCGTTCAATCTACAGATCACGGTTGACGTGCTTTAGTCCAAGGATGAACATTATTGAAAACTGTTCGGATCGCTCGGACCACTTTTTTGACCACTTTCCTTATTTTAAAAAGTCATTATTGGAACAACTTTATTAAGCGAAGCGGTGTAGTATATTTAAGGGTGCACTACAACTTATTTTTTATAAAATTAAATAACATAAAGGCTAAGCTAATAGGCAGCTGTCAAAAGTTCATATACAGCTATTACTATGTTTGCACTAGGAAGAAGTAAACACTTTCAAAAGCAATCACATGGCGATGCTTTCAAGTTCAGAGCTTTTACAATGAACGATGTCTGGAAACCTGTTTATCGATAATAGGACATAATGCGAAACAGTCTAAATCAACTTTCCCGGTTAGTAGCCAGATTAGGTTGCATTTATGTTCCAAGAGTTTACTTTCTGAAGTCAGTTTATAAGGCAGGTCATTCCTGTAATAGATGTTGAAAGATATTCGTCCAAAGTATGGTAAGGGAAACTTAACTACTCTGGTTATAGTTGATTTTTCCAAGGCTTTCTACACCGTTAATCATAATTTATTGTTCAAATAGTTAAGTTCTGACTTTGGTTTCGGTCCAACGGCCATCAAGCTTATTAGGTCTTATTGGTATAAAGGGTGTCAGTCTGCAAAAATCGGTGTGCTCCTTCTCTGGGATTAGACGTGTTAACTGTGGTACATCCAAAGAGTCTATTTTGGGGGCCATTTTGTTCAGTATCACCATTGCTGAACTTGATACTTGTTGCCAAAATTCATTTCTACGCAAATGACGCACATGGGGACTGATTCAACGAATTAACGGCGATTTGTGTCGCATCTCGCATTGATCCATTGTTAATAATTTAAAAGTAAACTGAGATAAAACGAAAGCCACCGTGATATCATCCAATTTTTATGATTCTGACTCTGTACCTAACATTATAATGGGTGATTGATATTATCGAGCAGGTTGCCAATCTTGTTTGTACATTTAACTCACGTTTGAGTGCTGACGATCATATCAATCTTACGTTCGTGCGAGTACATAACGTTGCAAGGGAATTGCGTTTATCCCCTTCGTACGTTCCAACTCAAGCTAAGTTGAGATTAGTTAAATGTCTTATTGTGCCACTTATATCGTACGGAGCCAACATATATGGCCCAAGCGTTAAGTTACAATTGTTTGTCAATAAATGTGGCAGACATCTTTTCAATAAGCGCAAATACGAGAGAATATCGCGGTTTTCGTCAAAGATTTTAGATTATGATTTTTCATCGTTTCTTAATGTGCCAAATGCGATCTTCATTCAGAAGCTCATTTATACTTTTGCGCCAAGTTATCTGTTTGAGAAAAACCGGTTCGTCCGACTAAGACTATTTTTTATCAACGCTAAAAAGTTATGCAACTCTCTACCACTTAAGATCATAGCATTTGTTAGTGTGTATAGGTTCCGAGCAGCAGTGAGGAAATTTTATATTTCTTAGTGTACCTAGTAATTATTTAATTTTGTTTAATTTCTTTTTCACTGTATAATGGTTAGAGTTACTCTATTTCGAATCTTTGCTAATTGTTTGTACTGAAAGGACTACAAGGTCGTCTTACTGGTAAAATAAATCTATTTTTATCTTAATTAGTCTAAATTGATAAGCTATTCGATTATAATTAATTAATGATTAATCCTTGTTTAATAATAAACTTAAATTTAAATCCAAACGTCAGGTCAGTTTTTTTTTTAGATAAATATTCATCGCCGTCCCCCCAATACCAATTTCATCATGTGGATAACTTTTATTCTGAGACGAAACAGTATGGATTGCATCTCTGTGATTCTCCTTAGAAAATGGATTAATATGATCTAACGAAGAAAGTAAACTCGGAAAGGTTTTATTAACAACACGACAAGTATCAATAAACCTTGAACTGAACATTTATAATTGATCCAAACCAAGTTGTCCAAACTGATGCAAATGAATGTTGCCAATAATATGTATGCGATATTAATATTTTTCGCATATGGTATAATGTGTGCATTATGTTACTTGCTTCTACACCGGAATATGAACTACTGCTATTAAAATTCCGACTTAAGAGATGTCGGTGTACACGAACTACTTGCTAGATAAATAATACCCTAATAAAGTTATAAAATTGAATAAAGTGACAGCGAGCTTAATTAGTCAAGATCGAGATGAAACAACAAGCTGCGCAATGAACTGAAGCTTCGTTCAGCTTCTTTTAGAGTGAATGTCCATATCACTATAATTGTTCTCGCATATACAATAAAAAAACTAAAACTCGAATTTAGGTAACAGCGGATGCGCCGCTTTATGGTAGTGAAAATTGTACTTCTGAATAACTGTATTAGTTATGCTGGAAAGTACGAATCATGGAGCAAGTAAGGAATGGACAACCGGAAATAGTCGACATTATTATCGAAATAATTTCTGAAAATTGCATTTAGTATAGAACCCGCGTATACTTGTTCGCCAATGTTTGGCAGAAAAATAATAAGGGCAAGGAGAGCCTTCGCCCCATTTTTCCTTTGGTTTACGACACTCAGAAAATGTCCACATAGATGCCACAATATACTATCTCTCCGGCTTCTACTATTGGCACCCTCCCTATTACGACGATTAAGATGGGAAGCAGAAATTCAGCAAAGCTCGGAAATGATTCGCTTACCAAACTCCGCCAATACATGCGCTATTGCGACTAATAGCTCACAGATGATATTGATCTACAATCCAATATAATTATTTTTTAGATTAACTAACGGGTCCTCGTTCCATGCATAAAAAGATGTTCTACAATACATTATATACGCATTAGTTTGATAAAGTGGGTATTAAAGTTTCGCCCGTAAGCGAGTATATCTTTCTTGTTTGTTTTAAATTGAAATTTTTTTGTGAATTAAATGTTATCTCTAGGGTGTTACTCTTTATTAAAGAATGTTTTCATTATTAAGTGTTAAGCTAGATTTTTTCAATAAAAATACGCAGTGTTGTCATTACCATTGACAAAAAACAAACGGAAAAACAACCTGTCTAAAAAGCTGAGAGAATGCTGCGAGACAAGAGATTAAAAATATAACATAGTGTGCAATTCAACACAAACTCAGTTGAGAACAATGACCGTAACGATATTTTAATAGATTACTTCGTAAAATTGAGAGTAAAATTCTATTTGTGAGAATAAAATTTACTTTCCTGTAACATTTCTCATGAATGCCCCCGAGTGCCTTTTCGACTTTGTTGAGAATAAAATTCAAGCGCAGCTAATTCGAGCCGTTTGTTCCGTTCGTTTCATTTACTTTTTTCGTCGTCGTCATTTCGTCGAGTCGAGCAAACCATGTAAAAGTGAGCAGTGCGCGCAGTTTTTTTTTAAATTAATTTTAAGTGAATATATTCAATGATATCGAGAAGAAAGGGCAAAGAAAGCAAAATTTCGAAATAAACAAAATTCTTGCGTAAATTATTCTTATAAAATTAAACTGAAGCGAAAAAAATTATTGCGCTATATAGGCGTACTATGAACCGAGTTTAGACATTTATGGAATGTGAAACTATGTTAAAAATAAGCAAACAAAAATTAAACGCATAAATATTGTTTAAATAATGAGCGAATTTTATAAATTTTTTGTTGCATGGGTTTAGTGTAAACAAAACAGAAAGTAATATAATATCATATAAATTAAAATAAAATAACTGAATAAAAAAAATTACATAAAGTTGCTGTTTACTCTTCGGAAAAGGAGCGTTACTTTAAATTTGTTACAAATGTTAATAGTGGCAGCGATCACAAAGCGTTTAGTGAAATGATGGGCTGTGATAGTTATAGTGATAGGACTGAATTAATGAAATTGATCTGTCGGTCACAAAAATGTTTTAAAAATAGAAAATATTCAGTCTGCATACACCATAGTTATGAAAATTTATCGAAATACAAAACAACTGAAACCTATGAAAAACTCACTTTTTAAAAGAGAAAGCATTAAGAGAAGGAGCAAAATATAATCGTTATATTATATATATATATAAAAAATTTCAAAAGAGCAATGAAAAAATGAAAATAATATCTTATTAAATATTTGTAAGCAATAATTTGAATTGAAAGTCAGCGCCAATCGGTCAGTGTGCAATTAAATTTAATATCGAATAATGAAAATAATGAATAAATATCAACATATGAAACGTTTTCAAAGAACGCAATCACTGATAAATAATTGCTAGCTCACGGATAACCGGTAACTGCAAGCGAGAAAAAGCGTTAATGTTATAATTTCACCACATTACTAAATCGTATGTATGCACGTACGCATGCACATGCTGAGTTGTATATATACACGTATATATGTAATATAAAATGCTCCGTCCTTACTACCAGCCGCATCTATGTATTATAATAAAAATTATGAAGAAAATTGCCTTAAAAGATCTAATATTAGCAGTAATAATACTGTTAAGTATTTTGGCGACGATGCCGACATATGCAAGCTGTGATAACCAAAGCATTTCTAAAGGGTCAATTCAAGCAAAATTGGCTCTGAATGGCAACGACAAACTGTTGCAACGTTTTACACGAAACCTTAAGGATAACAACTACTCATCGTCCAGCTTTAATAAAACGGAACTTATAAACACAACGGGTTATATGGCTTCCTATGGATTGCGTACTAAACATAAGTCACAAAAATTTTTGCCAAAACAACGAAAGACTCCTACTGGTTCGGGTATCAACGATTTAACAAGTTTCAATCTAATTACGGAATCACGTAATGATATTTGCAACGATCATTGTAGCTGTAAACGTGGAGGAAACGCTTTTGTCACCATTAATTGTGATTTTCAAAAGAATCCCAAGGTAAGTCCAAAGCTCCAACTATCCATAATAAGTAAGTAAGCAAGCGCTTTTAGGGCAGAAATATAATTTGTAAAGATTTTATTTTTTTTATTTATTTTTTTTTGCTCATATATTTATTTTCTAATATCTTTTCTTTGACGGAATGAGTTCCCATTTAAATCTCCCGAAAAGAAACTTGAATAATGAACCTAAATTGTATGGTTCCTTCTCAATCAGTGTTCTTTGGTGGTAATTACATATGTAAACGAACGTATGTGCACATGTATGTGCGTGAGTATGTGCACTCCACGCAAGTTCGTCTTCGTAACTCAAAAGTCAATTGAAAATTCAACACAAAGCGGATGCTGACACAAACCAAAAAGAAAAAACACTAACTTTATATGTATATATATTTATATAAATATATTTATATAATATCTTACGCCAATATGTACATTACGCACCACACCGCAGTAAATGTGAAAAACAATAACAACGACGCGATATTTTACAAAGAGTATAATGCTCTTTAGTCATTATTAGGCAAAGATTTTCTCGTATAAATTACTCATATAGTAAAAACAAAAAAGACAGCGAAAAACTTGAAAAAATAAAAAAAAAGGCAGACAAAAATAATGATAAAAACATACATAGTCAAAAAAAAAAAAATACGGATAAGTCGAACATTTAATGCCCCTTTCCTTTTACAAAGATTGTAGAGAAACTCTTTCGAAAATTTTGTGGCCTAGAATATGAAAGATCAGGTTATCTGTTGTTTTCCAAAAGTATAAGATTTCCAAACATTCAAATTAGTATCGGAAACTATTTTACCTGACAATTTGTCTGGTACAATTGGCTATCAAACGAATATTTTGCATACCCATTACTTAAAGCAAATTGAGATTCACGGGGCAGTTTTATTCTTTTATTTTTATGCATACAATTTTATGGTAATTGTGTACGAGAGATAATGTCATTTAAACACCCGCTTTTGCGATCTCAATAAGTACATTTTTCCCCCGCATTTGATGATTTGTCTAAATTCACGATAATGAAATGAATAAATCTTCCCAGGCGAACCGACTAAAGAGAAATGTAAGCCTTCCCAAAGAAAATCATGTATCATTGCAAGCTTTTTATTCAACTGTGTTTATATCAACAAGTCGATTGAAGGTAATTCTAAACCGAATATTACGGCCTGAATGCCACTTGCAACAGGTTATAAGTTATTGATAAAAATATTTAAAAAACTTGATGCAGGCCACGATATACGAAAAAGTATAGATGACACATTTCGGATTTCTGCCACCAATGTAACTCTTTCAACAACGAAAAATAAGAGTACGGTCGCATTGGCTTAGAACTTCACATTAATTAAAAAATAGTGTAGAGGTATTCAATAGTATCTCTGATGTGTATATTTGCAGACGAATCGGTTAGCTATTAGTCCCAGACTCAGAGTTAAAATTTGTTAAATGTTAAAATTTTTAATTATGGCAGAAGCGTTTGTGGACGGATTACGTCCATTCTTAACCCGATCAAAAAGGCACGCCTAAGTTCACTCACAGTCTAACACCATCGTCACGTATACGTATATATATTTATATCTTTTGTAGTTTCTAAAGTACATTTCTGTGTTTATTTCACAAGGAAGAGCAAATCTAATGCGCATACACCTTTCAATGGAAGATACCGAAACTATATTTGTTTTTTTGTTTTATTTTGTTATACTTTAGAGAAAATGTTTCAGCAAACCTACAAATACATAACTATTTATACTTTATATCTGTATTCCCTTCAACAAAGGAAAAAGTATTGTAAACTAACAAATTGTTGTTGTTGTCGCCATTACAAGTTACGCGCTACTTCGTGATATTTTTTATTAAAAAAAACAAAAAAAAGAGAAAATGCGCATACACACAATTGTATATGCATACAAGAAGTATATGCTTGACGAGAACAACGCTGCTGTCGCCGACAACAACGTCTAAACAAACTAACAAACGAACTCGCGATCATGATCATGATATAAGTCAGTTTTACTTGAAGCCAAGAAATAAAAACATAAAGAAGAGAGTCACCAAGAGTCAACCCCACAAATGCCGTACATCTTTGTAACTCGCTAAAGCATATGCGAACATATGTGTGCACTGGCTAGCAGGTTTATGCGTGCATATACGTGCATCCAGCGTATATACAATAATATAAAATAATACTACTTTTTGCGAAACATCCAATAATTTTCAGTGTGTACGTCCATCTGTTTAACCGTCACACTGACTTGTTTATAAGGAGAAAATATTGAAGTGTTTGTTTGGAGAAAAATGCATATGCACGCAAGTATGTGTACGCAGTCGTTCATTTATACTCTGGACATACGTTTAAATAATTTGTTTAAATAATGTTTTTGTTGTTTATCTTAGTTTTTAAATAGAATTTAACATTTTTTTCCTACTATTTAACGACAAGGAAGCACGAATTTTATTACTTGTATGTATTGGTGAACAGAACACGATTTTAGAAGTATTTTGATTTCTGACAAATTTTATATGGGTTGAACTCCCATTATTTATGTTACGGTCCGCGTATATTTTTCTGACCCCATTGTAGACGCGGTTACGTTCAGTTTGAATCTAGTAAGGTCTCTGTGTTTTTATGGTTTTAGACTTGCTTTTTTCTAACTCCACAACAACAAAATTTGGATAGCATTTGTATTTTGGTGATTCTGTAACGTTCAATAATGCATCTTCTTTGTGTCGAATATCATCTATATATTTTCAAGAGCGATTTATATACTCCTACTTACTTAGCCCGCTTATTACCATACTCTACATCAGTCATCAAGTGCCGGGACATACACATCCATATAATTATTGAGAAAATCTCAAATGATAGCTGTCGTGTCCTTTCGATCATATGTTTAGGTCATTAGTTGAAGTAGTTTCAGTGACGCTACATTTCTTTTTCTATTTTTCAAAACAATGGAAAATCAAAATTACGTGTGTTGATTGAACGTTGCTTCTTAACGGGAGAATTTTATGGGTCAATCTTCCCCATAAAAATGTGTTGTGGCGAGTTTTCTACGAGGAAAATAAAAATTTGTAAACGGTTTGCTAATCTTAAAAAAACCAAACAGATATAGACGACACGGAAGTCGTTACATCAAAATATGCCGAAAAAATCCAGAAAATTATTCCTACCCCAAATTGTCACCGCATTTCTTGACAGTGCAATGTAGACATCAACTATTATTGACTCGAGGCCGTATTTGGAACTGTTTATAAAAGGGTCCTTTTCATGCGGTATACGAGAATTTACATAATATTGCAACTACCTCACTTCTTGCGCTCCTGAATCACTGAGCGTTGAAAGCAGTGCGGAATAATCAAAACTGCAACGACTGAGCGACAAAGAATTGTTGACAAATCGCCCTATAAAACGGATATTGAAATGTTGACGAAACGTCAGACCACTCTTGAAAGGTAGCTACGCGGACAAAGTACAACACATTATCGCCGCTATGAATTTGGAAATTATTGTACTAATTAAAAGTCCAATGCACTGTTCATATGAACAACAATATAATAAAATAAACGTCTTTATTATTTTGTTTTCGGCCTTTTTTTTTAATCTGAAGAGTACACTTGAGGTAGTTTTATAAATGGCTATGCAAGTATGTACTTTTCCATTTACTTGTCATTAATACCCGTATTGTTTAATTGGCTTTTCAAAAAAATATGCGTGAGAGTCTACTTCTCTTGATAGATTAACAAGGATCGACTTTTTTTTATGACGTAAAATCTCAAGCAATTTTTGGTTATGTATGCTATACTAGTGAAAGAAAATGCTAACTCTTGTACAAGTTTATCGCATGATTGCGCTCAATTTCGTAACGATATATGCTATATGTTGTAGGTTATTGATGAAAAATATGCTTAAATTTCCGATTTTTTTTTTCTTTTTTTATTTATACATCAAGAAAGGCATGAAACGGGGAGGTTACCACGAAGACGCATTAACGTATAGATAGACAAAAGGAGTTGTAGAAGAAGAGATATTGGTATGAACGGACGAGTAGGCGGCATGGCGGCAAAGCGGAAGCACGAACAGACATAAAGATTCACAAAAAGGCTACTACACGTGAACGTGTATAGATAATCAGACCGATGAAAAAATATGAACACAGAGCGTAGTACCGCAACCCTACTGCAATCAAAAACAAATTGTGTTGTAATGCAAGCTTCTTAGCATAAAGTCAAACTTCTTATATCTATCACCGAAGGATGAGTGATATATTCATATCGCCTAAAAATTTACAAAAAAAACTTGGAAGCCACTTAAACTTTTCAAAGGATACGCCTACAACGCTACACGTCTATGCGACATAGAGCATAAAAATGGGTAAGGGTATGAAAAATTCTGTCACGACCGGATATAATTTCCTTATGTGTTCTTATTTATTTCCGGAAATTATTGACCGGCGCATTAAATTGTGATGGCCACGAACTTTTGTCAAGTATATTTCGTACGTACGTAGTTTTGTAGAAGAACAAACTTCGCACTTACATTGGCAAGAACAGGTATCTTTTCTTAGTTTCGCATTTACATGCGTGCAATGCTGGAATTTAATTCGTCGAAGTGAATTTTAACTACATTTGAGTACATCTCTTAATGTCCTTATATGACTTTATCTGCCTTTTCACTTGCTTTTCATATCACTGTAAAGTGATCTTTGCAATTTTCTGCATGAGCAATCTAAATATAATGAAATTATGAGCACGAGCCCGAATATACATAACCGCTGTATATGTAATTCTGTGAATATGAGCCAAACAAAACAAACAAAATTCTTCGCATCAAATTGAGTTAAAGGATCGTCCTGCTTTCAAGCAGAAATTGGTTGTTACGATACTTTTATGAAACTTGGTTTCTGCACGGACAAGGAATCTTCCTCAAGCGCCTTATTTTTTTTAACACGTACACCTAAGTAGGGTATCGGCTTAAACGTCCTCGAATATTAT